GCAGTCATAAGACCTCTTCTGGTTGCTCCCTTCACGCAAACGAGCTCCCAATAGGCCTATCCTCAAACTCACAATCTCCTGCTCAAGGTTCAGAAGCTCTACTCTTTTGTTTTTACTCTCCCGAAGTCCTCTTTATCCAACTGCAAGCCATAAAATCTTAAACTCCTTACTTTCATAACTCTTTGTTTTGACCATCTCCAACACACTGGCACTTCAAGATCAGAGCACCACATTCCCGTCCCTTCTCAACCTTCAAATCTTCATCCTGGCTTCAATTGAACTCAAAAACAGCAATAGAATTTTTTACCTCATGAAATCTCACGCCTTCTTATAGACCAAACTTGTGAACTAACGTCTGTAAGCAAAACTTGTTTTCCACATGAAACCGCAATTGCAAGCCCTTTTCTTTTCTCCAGTCAACCTATTTTCCCACTCTTGCTTCACGTGAGAATCTATAGTTCTTTTCCTTTTTATACAAAAAAGGTAAAAAATAGCTTTTTTTTTTGTTTAAAAAGAAGCATATTCTCAATTTTCTCCACCTATAATTGTTTTTTTGGGGACATTTAGGCCAATTTAAAGCAAACTCACGCACACCACGCAGACACAAAGATTCGAACCCAAAACCTCTTAGTTGAAGCATAAGCTCTCAACCAATAGGCCATGGTGAGCTGTGTACCTATAATTGCATTCACATGAATTTTTCTTTCCCTGCTACCATTTCTACTCTTTTTTCTTATCTTGCTCTTTTCATTTTTGTTTATATTGGTTACTATCATTAATAAATTAGTTCGAATGCTTCTACTTATGTTAAAACCATTATTATGTTTTCTCATTTTTTACTAGTTATTCATTTACGATTATTACTCTGTTTCATCTTTTTTTTTTACCTTCATTTAATTTCAGTAAGCATTTAACGGTAAATCATTTATAATCATTTGTGTTGAATATATATATATATATCTCCAAAGAGAGAGATTTCAAAAAAAATAATGAGGATAAAAAAAAAGATTTAACAAAATTAAAAAAAATGCAAACAAAAAAAGAGAGTGGGATTCATTGTGATTTGTCCATTTTCGTAAGTCCCGTATTATATACATTTTGCCATCTCATGCCATTGACCTCACCACAAAAGGTATATACACTCTCCAAACTTCGAGATCCCACTGTCGACGCTTGTAGCGTAGCGAGCAATCACAAATACGTGCTTTTTTTAGCGCGGTGGGAGGAAGCTCATTGTGTTATTTATGACGAGGCCGGTGATCCTCAAAAGTCATGTTTTCAGCATTCACAGCAAACCGAGGAACCCCATATGCACGCTTTTCTTATTTTGGTGGGAGGGAACTCGGTGCGGCACTTACGATGAGGCAGACAAGCCTTGCTCGTACTTTTCTCAGCACAACATGGCAAAATATAAGTACCGCTAAGCGCTCGTGTAACATGGCGGGGAAAAATTGCATTTTCAAATAGTTACTTTTAAAGACCCGTGCATGCCCTTCATGGAATCATGGGGGTTGAAGACTAGGTTGCAGCGTCCCTCGACACCGATCGTACTTGTCTTTCGTGACGTGGCAGGCAGGCTAAGACTCCAACAATTTCCACTAGAAAGCGGAGATTCCAAGAGGATGCCGAAATTTCATTTGAAGATTTTTATATCTTGATTGATTAAAAAGGATCCAACATGGACTCAAACGAATAAGTACAAGAGACTTAAATTGAATTGGAACCTAAAATTGAGCAAATTATTTTTTTATCCGATCTGGACCACAAGGTACTTGACTTGGATAGCTAGGAACTCAAACTTGCCATTAAATTGAATATGAGCTTAGACATAATTGAATGACATGGAGTACAATTTAAAATAAAACTTGTTATTTGACAAAATAACAACGTGCGAACAACAATTAAGTGGAAGAAACAATGGCTTGCTTATAGCGAATAAAACAAAAAAAAAAATTAATGGAGGTTAAGAAACGATCATCTTAATTTGGATGAGAATATTGATGAATATGACATCAGGCTCATCATACAAATTGTAAGATTTCTTTGAGAGCAAAGAACTTTCAAGTATAATTTTTTTGTAGGTAACAAGAAAATTGTGAAGGATATGGCTTGGTGTCAAAGCCATGATATTAGGGCTTTGGAGCATGATGGTTCTTTTATAATGTTGGACATGACGCATCCCTAAGCAAAAACCAATATGAATTGTAAGAAACGTGGAAATCTACCCACAACATATCATGCGAAAATCTCTAATAAGTGTTATAGTTGATTCATAAAGGCTATATTAGTTGGAATGCAAATCTCTAATTAACAATAGTACTATTTTTGTCATTCATAGCATGGATCAACTGACGACATGATGGAAAAGCTGTGTTTAACGCTGGTGATTGCTCTGAGGTAGCAAGAATAGATAAACATTCAACATATGCATGAAAAATGCATGCTACCCATAAGAAAAGGAAGAGACCGTCAAGAAATAGATTCAAACTATTATCAATGGCAATCAACGAGTGGACTAATGCATTAATTCAATGTCATTTAGCTACATGTTGTAGCTAAATGCACTAAACCCTTGTAAGTGATAACGAAGAACATGCAATGAATATGATTATTCATTATGATTATTTGTTGAGGATTAAAAATATATTTGATGAACTGTAGTGTCTAGAGAATAGGAGGTTTTTGGTAGTTGTATTTATATTTAAAAGAGAAGTTGGGTGATGGTTGGTCTGACACCAAAGAAAAAAATTTCAAAAGTAAAGTAAATTCTCATATTTCATTAGAAGAGTTTAACGATGCTAGATTCTGTGGTGCTATGGTGCTACCCCAACTAAGTACTTTAAGGTTAAAATAATGTAGAAGACCCCATTTCCATCAATGACCTCAACTAATGCATTTTGCCACACATCATTGTCCAGTCAATGGCCTTTGGCAAAATCTTATTAGGAGATTTTGCATAGCTTTCTCTTCCTCTTGTATACATGAATGACATTAACGGACTGATAAGCTATGTAAATACAATGATTTAATTTTTAAATATGTAAATAAGAAGGTTTGAGTGTTATATTATATTTTTTGTTGCACCACTAAGATATAAATAATCTCTACTCTTATGTCAACACTTAACAATTTTACTTTTTGATACATATCATATATTTATCTTTTATAATAGTTCCTCCCATTTGTTATTTGTTATTCAAACTTAAAAGTTCCTCTTAAAGATTGAGTGGAAACAAAAGAACTAAGACTCTAAGAAAGCTTCATAATCACTATAAGTGCGTGTGTGTGTGTGAGTGTCTATATATATATATATATATGTATATGTATATGTATATTTATAATAGTAGTATTCAAGAAAGTTTGACAACCTTAGCTGTCGTTGTTTGGTCTTGTTCAAGCCCACACATTTAAAGCTTGATATCACTCTGTAATTTTGCTCAAAATTTTAAATTTATTGAAACTAGTTTACATTTAGAACAAATTCTAGATTAACTCTATAAATTTTGATCAGTGAGATATGAGTAATCATTTTGATAATGCTATGATATTTTTACTTTTAGCTTAAATTTTATTCTTGATAGATATATCTAAAATTAGTCATTTATACAACCATAAGTTAAAAAAATTTACTATTTTTTTACTAATCTCAAAGTATGTATGTCTCTTCTTCTACTTCCATAACAGTCATTTGTATTAAATATTTTAATAGCCGTTATGAAATTGTGATGCTAGGCCAACAGAGCATTTAATACAAACTCTTTATGGGTATTTAGATTTGAGTAAAAAAATAGGCATATAAGAGTAATGAGATTGTTTATATATATATTATTGATACAAGTCATACATGAGTATGATATGAGATTGTTCATATCTTCAACGTTGATCTACCTTTCAAAAGGCTTCCAAAAGAAGGAAACCATTCATGACAGAAGATTTTTTTCTTTTTGGTTCCTTTTCTTCTTTAGATAAACAATTCAACTTCCCTCAAACTTTGACAACCTTACTTTTACCACATTAACTGTATTTAAAAAATAACAAGGAAAAAAAAAGAGTCTATACTATTGTAATGTTAAAGAAAGAGCAATTTTATATTCTCGGGCATTCAATCACACAACACATGACATAGTGCAAAAAAATATTTGTCCATTTCAGTGCAACTTATAATTAGTTTTAAACATTAAAATTTAGCCCCCTTTCAAAATAATCTTTCATAAGCATAATCACGTGCATAAAATTAGATTGGTTAACCTAGGGCAATCTAAACATGCATTATAAATCAGAGAATCAACATCACATCATCTTTATAGAATTAATCAACCACTATAATCACAAACACATATCCATGAAAGAAACAATTTATTTTTCAAAAATAAAAGATAATTCATTAAACATTCACAACAACATTATTAACCTAAGACCAAAGTCGGTTGTCCTCTCAATCAAGTTAAAATATGGGTTTGGCTATATAATTCAGTTAATCTTATTAGTCTTTAGAGTTTCATTTTTGAATGTTTAATTTGCCAAAAGAAAAATGCATATGTCGAAGTTTAAATAAATTAAGAATTTTATTAAAAATTTATGACTGCTTGTTTACTCCCAACTATTTAGAGATAACTTGATTGAAGTATAAAGTACCCTCACTCATTAGATAAACTTAAATAAAAGTTGAAGGGATTTGTTAAGAAGGAAATTAATTAATGATCATAATGAAGTACGATAGTTGAATGTAAACAAGTTTTTTATGAGTTCTGCTGAATACCTTGTAATTATCAACACAAATATGACTAATAAATTATCAATTTAATATTAAAATGTAGGTGAAAAGGCAAATATTAACCACCAGTGGAAACAAGGCAAGCGTCTTTTGGAGATAATATGTTGCTCAGTGCTTGCTCTCTTTCTTGAGCATGGATATCGTTTGATGTGTGGTGTAATGCAATCACGGATGAAGTGATGATCGACCTCGATATGCTTCGTTCGAGCATGAAAGATGGGATTACACGCAAAGGACATGGCGGATACGTTGTCACAGAAGAGGTCAGTGGGGGGAAGCAAGATTTGAAAATCTTCACAGAGGCGTCTGGTCCACATAATGTCAGCTGCGGCGGCAGCCATTGAACGGTACTCGGCTTCCGTGGACGAACGGGCAACGATCGTTTGTTTTTTAACGGACCAGGCCAGGAGAGCAGTACCGAGAAATAGACAGTAGCCAGTGGTGGACTTGCGATCAAGTTGATCGCCAGCCCAATCAGAATCGGAGTAGGCAGTGAGAAGTAAGTTTGTTTTGGGTAAAAACTGTCCATAATGTAGTGTACCCTGTAAGTAACGCAAGATACGCTTTAGTGGTTGAAAGTGGAGGAGAAGAGGGTTGTGCATATGTTGGCACAATTTGTTGACAGCAAATGCAATGTCAGGTCGGGTAGTGGTGAGGTACTGTAGAGAACCAATAAGCTGATGGAAGAGATCTGGCTGAGAGAATGGGAGCTGAAGGTGAGCGTCGGTGGGATACTTTGAGGGCAGTGGGGTGAGCAGAGGCCTGCAGTTAGTCATTGAGGCAGTATGGAGTAGAGCGGTGATGAAAGATTGTTGAGACAGGTGATAGCCTTCAGCAGTCCGACAGAATTCTGTTCCGAGAAATTTGGATAGATGTCCCAAATTTCTTGTTTGAAATTTTTTTTGAAGATTGGACATCAATGTTGTAATTGAGGTAGGGTCAATGCCTGAAATGAGAATATCATCAACATACACGAGAATGTAGATGTGGATATCAGCCTGATGGTAATAGAAAAATGACGGGTCTGCTGAGCTCGGCACGAAGTGCTGTTGTTTAAGGTAAGTAGACAGAGTAGCAAACCAGAGTCTTGGGGCTTGTTTGAGGCCATAGATGGCCTTGTGAAGTAAGCAGACATGATGTGGTAGATGAGAATCCTCAAAGCCTTGTGGTTGAGTCATGTAGACCGGTTGATCAAGCTTGCCGTGAAGAAACGCGTTCATTACATCGAGCTGATGAACAGGCCAGTCGTGATGCAGGGCGACTAGGAGAAATAGCCTGATGGTGGTGAACTTGACCACCGGACTGAATGTCTAAAGATAGTCGATGCCGTACTGTTGTTTTAAGCCTTGAGCAACCAAGCGTGCCTTATGGCGAGCAACGCGACCATCTTCCATGAATTTAAGCTTATAGATCCATTTGCATCCAATAATAGGAGTGTTGATAGGCGGGGGAACTAGAGACCATGTTCCCTGAGCTTGTAAGGCATGAAACTCGGCAGACATGGCAAAGCGCCAATTCGGGTCTTTGTTGGCTATGGAAAAGCACGTTGGAGACGATCGAAGAGTATGGGAGAGATCCAAGAGAATTCTGGGTTTTAGATTACCCGTCTTCGCGCGAGTGATCATAGGGTGAGAAATAGGTAGTATTGGTTGATCGGAGGAGGATGCAGACAGCGTTTGTTCTGTAAGTGAATTTGTGACTGGAGAGAGCGAGGTAGTGAGGCTGGGGGATGGCTGTGGGGAATGATGTGAAGAGGACAGAGACAGATTGTCGGTAAGACTTTTTGAATGTTTGACTGGAGGGAAATAGGGAAGATCAGAGGAGGGTTGAGCTGGAGATATAGAGGGAGATGGAAGAAATGGAAAGGAAGACTCATCGAATTGGACATGTCGAGAAGAGATAATTTTGTGAGTGATAGGATCAAAACATTTAAAACCTTTCTGGTTGATGGTGTAACCCAAGAAGATACAAGGAATAGAACGTGGAGCAAGTTTATGAGGAGATAGAGGCTTTGTCCAGGGATAGCAGCGACAGCCGAATTGACGAAGAACGGAATAATCTGGTGGTGATTGATAGAGAAGATGATAGGGAGATTTGTTGAGTGTGTTCGGTGATGGTAAACGATTGATAAGAAAAGCGGCAGTGAGTAGAGCGTCAGACCAGAAGGTTGGGGGTAAATGAGCGTCGAGGAGAAGCGCACGAGCTGTTTCCAGTAAGTGCCGATTTTTACATTCGGATACGCCGTTCTGTTCAGGAGTATAGGGACAAGTAAGTTGATGGGTTATGCCGCGGGTGCGAGTGAAAGCTTGAATGGTTTGATTTGTGAATTCTCCACCATTGTCGCTGCGAAGCTTGCGAACTTGATAGTTAACTAATTTTTCAATGGTGATAATAAACCGAATTATGTTTAAAGCAACATCTGATTTGTGTTTTAATGGAATTAACCAACTATATTTAGAGTAATCATCAATGAGCAAAAGGAAATAGCGAAAGCCATCATATGAAAAAACAGGGGAAGGTCCCCAAACATCCATATGTATTAATTCAAGCGGACAACTGGACACACTAGTTGATGTAGAAAAAGGGATCCGGTGACTCTTAGCAAGAGCACAGGAAGTACAGACGAACTTAAAAGATGAAATGTAAAGTGACGGAAAGGCTTTAGATAGAGCAGCCATAGTCTTGGCATTTGGATGTCCCAGCCGGCGATGCCAAGACAGAGCGGAACTTGACGGAGCAATGGTCGTGGATGCAGCGACAATGGAAGGTTGGCAGGGGACGGGATACAGACCATTACGGCAGCGTCCGTGGAGTAGAGATTGATTGGTCGTCTTGTCCTTGACAGAAAAACCAGATTTGTCAAAGGTGATATAGCAATTGTTGTTTTTGGTAAGTTGAGAAATAGAGATTAACCGATGAGTGAGGTTGGGAACATGGAAGAGAGGTTTGAGGTGAATCTTACGGGTGGGTGTGGGAAGAAGACCGTTTCCAACATGCTGTATAGGGAGAGAATTCCCATTGCCAACAAAAACCTGATCTCGACCATAGTAAGGAGTTGAATGCTGTGCCGAAGGTGGATCTGGAGTGAGGTGGGCAGAGGCTCCACTGTCTAAGTACCAGGGGGAAGATTCTGGTTCTGCAACTAAGGCAACACTGGAGGCAGAGGAAGGAGTATAGTTGAAGTTGCCGCGGTGCCAGCAGTTAGTGGCTGAGTGGCTGCGCTTGCCACAGATCTGACATTCACCATCAAAACGGGGAGAACGAGAAGACGCTTTGGTGTTGTTGGTGGTAAAACGACCGCGGTCGCGCTGGTTCGACGAGCGTCCACGGGAGCGACCACGATTGGAGAAGAGGGCAATCTGACTTTCTGTATTAGTTGGATTTGAAAAAGAAAGCTCGCGAAGAGCATCAGTTGTTTGATGAACTTCTTCACTGCGAAGAAGGGAATACAGGTCATCGAGAGAAATTGGATGTAATGAGCTCCGGATAGTGGTTTTAAAAGACTGATAAGACGGCGGTAATCCATTGAGGATGTAGTGAAGGACATCTTCATTGTCCACTGTTCCACCAGCTGAGCGGATGTTATCAACTGTAGTTTTCATAGCAGCTAGATATTCTGTCATTGTCTTGTTAAGCATAGAGAGAGATTGGAGCTCATTCTTGAGTTGGATAACTCTAGAGCGGTTGGTGGAGAAGAAACGTTGTTCCAGCGTTTTCCAAATAGATGCCGAGGTTTCTAAGGTGAGAATGTAGGGGAGAATGGGTGGAGATATGGTGGAGAATAAGGCGACGGAGAGATTTTGATCAATGAGTGTCCAAGTAGAATGTTGAGGGTTGAGATTGAGTTGGCCAGTGGCTGTTAAAAGATGTTTTGGGGGAGATAGAACGGTGCCATCAAGATATCCGGAGAAATGATTGGCAGCAAACAGTTTGTAAATAGCAGATCGCCAGGTAGGGTAATTTTCTGGAAGAAGCTGAACGTTGATAACATTTTTTTTTTGTTGGCTAAGAGAAATTTTAGAGTAGCTGGAATAACAACGTCAGTTGACGTTGTTGAGACATCGGAAGTGAGAACGGCGATCGGGGGGGTGTTGGGGGCTTAAGCGTTTGAGTCTCCCATGATGCAAGAGCCGTTAGGCTAGATGTGGCTCTGATACCATGAAGAACCACAGGGATGCAGCAAGCTGAAGAAGGCTATCAAGAGGAAGAAGATGAACAGTAACAACGACATTTTCCATTGATTGATTAATGTGTGTTACATGAGTATATATAAGCCAACTATGATATAATAGTAAATGTCTAAATTGCCCATGGCCGTTAGTGTGTACAGTGGCAGAACCAAGTGGGAATAAAGCTGATGCCTGCTCAGCCGTTGCTGTCCGACGCCGCCTTGAGTTGTGACGAGGTGGTTCGTGGTGCAGAGACGTTGGCGGAAGCAGGTGCCTTTTCAGTGTAAAGTTGATTTTAGTGTAAAGGAATACAATAGGGAAATTTATTTGCTGAGTTGAAATGGGGGACACAAAAAAATAATAATTTGTGAATAAAAAAGCTTTATAAAGGTAGATCCAAACCTGGTCAAGACCTACTAAGGTTATTGAAGTGTAAAATACCCTCACTCATTAGATAAACTTAAATAAAAGTGGAAGGGATTTGTTAAGGCAATTAATTAAAGATGATAATGAAGTACTATAGTTGAATGTAAACAAGTTTTTTATGAGTTTTGCAAAATAACTTGTAATTATCAACAAAAATATGTGTAATAAATTATCAATTTAACACTAAAATGAAGGTGAAAAGGCAAATATTAACCACTATTGGAAACAAAGAAAGTGTCTTTTGGAGATAATATGTTGCTTTTTTTTTTTTCGCTCTGCCTTGAGCATGGATATCATTTGATGTGGGGTGTAAAGTTGATTTTTGGGTAAAGGAATACATTAGGGAAATTTATTTGCTGAGTTGAAATGGGGGAGCAAAAAAAAATTTTGTGAATTCAAAGGCTTTATAAAGGTAGATCCAAACGTGGTCAAAACCTACTAAGGTTATTCGGGTTTAACTTAATTTTTATGTGGAATATTTTCTCTGGAGCGTTAAAAAAATTTAGGTAAAGATATGATTGGTATATGTATTCAATATATATCATAGGGTTATTATAGGTAGATTTTTTGGAGGTAAGTTTATGCCAGAAATATTATCCGTAATAGAATTTCTAGCAAATTGTTTGTAAGAAAATTTACCTAATTTCCAATGAAATAATATGTTAGAATTTCCACTAACCGACTCCTTCGTCCCTCATCTCAATTCAAAGATTCTCACACAAACATATATATATATATATATATATAGTCAAAGTCATTTTAGAATTAAACACATCGAGTTATTTAAATATATTCTTTTGCATGTAGTTTTGGTTGCAAGAAAAAAATATGCCTATAATAATAAGTTTCATGTCCTTAAGAATATTATTATTTTAGACTTCAAAAAATACTTAACAATTTTTCCCATAAAATATTTTAAACAGACTATTTTTATAAAGTGGACTTGTAACTTTATGCAAGTTAAATATGATTTTACTTAAATTAATGCAATTTGTTTTTATTATTATTTCGTATGTAATGTTTAAACAAATGATATTGCATTTGTCTAAGCATTTTGGTGAAACTCATTAACATTATTTTATGTATTTCTAAAGAATTTTAAATCTATATTGTTATATTAAATGCTATCAATGATTATGAGCCATTAGTTTAAAATTTCAGAAAAATAATATTGAGTTTGTGACAAAACTTTGAAGGATTTAGAGGGGTGTAATGAACAGAATAATAATACTAATCTTATTAATCTAATTTGGGATGATTTAAAAGGTCAATTTTAAGAAATGATAGAAGCATGTTGGATTTGGATGTGTAATTTATATATAGAGTAAATATAGTGTTTGATTGAGTTTAATGGTGATGCCAGGATATTGGGAACAATAATAGAAGATGGGGCTCCTTATTTTGGCCAATAGTTTTTGTATGATGGGGTGTTTGGGGTAGATGCGAGAATTTAGATGATGAGTTGTTAAATTTGGAGGATACATAAGATGGTACCAAAGATGTGAGGAAAGGTTAAAGTACATTTTTACGAAGGAGCTATAAAAAACTTACAAAATGATAAATGCTAACTCACCAACTGAATAGAAGAATTTATTCCCAATTTTTATTTTTATTAAACATCTAAA